GTGAGAATGACTGGTCTCTGTAGTTTCTTGGATCTTTGCTCTCATGCATATAGTCTTTAGAAACCTCAGCTGATTGTCATGATTATTCAACGATAATCAAGTGGCCCTGTAATGACAGTGGACTTTTACAGAACCCACAATTTCTAGGTGCAACCTGTTTAGTCCCATGGACTTGAATATATCCAGATTAAGTGCTCTCTAACCTGGTCGTCTTCCATCAAAGGTAAGACATCCCTGTACCAGCTTTTTCCTCTGACTTCAGAGGCCTGTCATTTCTGAAAGCAAGTGAAGACTGAGGTGGTGAAGGTATTGAGTACCTTGGTCTTTTCCATGTTGTTTATCACCGGTTCCCCTGTTCTATTCAAGAATTATTCAATTGATAATTCATTATTGTTTGACAAATTAGGAGTTTTATCTTGCTGTTTAGAAACAAAGAGCTTATGAGTGCATCAATATTCTAAGATTAAATGTGATGATTTCCAAAGCTATTAAATCAAGTTATTTCTTTTCGTGACTGAAATTGTTCTGCATTGTTTTGGATTATTTTAATAAAATTTTGTTACTTCTAATATCTTAATATAACAAATATAACTCAAGACTGTACCTACTTAAGATGTAACAGACATAGGCTCTATTTTTCCCTCAGTGTTTTTCCTTTAGATTATCATCTCTGCAAAATTCAGTTACCATCTCACTGTTTGAGGACTGTCAACCTATATTCCAAACTTACTTTAGACTATTTCCCAGTCTAAAATCTTAATGCATATCTTGTGGATTTGTGATACCTGAAGACTTGATATAGATGAAATAGAGGTAATTATTTCTAAGATCTTTCCGGATATTGCCTTTCTGAATCATTGTGCATTGATTATCCTGTCTGCCACTTAGATCTCCAAGATACATGTCCTCTTATTAACTTCTGTTGCACCTTCTGTGCAAAGATACAGGCTATACCTAACATTTTCCATTTCAGCCTGCGTGTCCTTTCTAGGTATGCAGTTTTCCCAAGTATCTTAATAGTGTGTACTGCCAATCAGCATGTAGCTCTTTTGTGGATCTTTTTTGTCCTGATGTGTTCAACATATTTACCCATCATAGCTTGACTGTATCTTGATTTTGCTTAAATGATATAATTGTATTTTCTTACAACTCATTCTAGTTAGAAGAGATTGTTAATATTTGTTCTTAGTGAACACAATCCTTTTTATAATAGTGTAAACAATACAAGCCAATCATGCATTAGAAGTGTACATTTATAGCAGTTAGAAATGAACATAAGTGAAACTGGAAGTTCAAGGCGAAGTCTGTAAATTAAAAAGACCCTCTGAAGATTGACTTTGGTAGATGCTGTGAACAAACAGCTCCTGTTTTACTTGAACAGTTTCACAGCATGACACACTTAAGCAACAGTTGTATTTTCATCTCTCTTTGTAACATGTGACTCTACAGTCAAAGGCAATCAGTGTGGGGAAACCAACTGAATTAAGTTGGAATGAAATACCAGAGACAGCTTAATGTTTGATGCTGCTCACAGATTAACCATTTTCTGTTTCATGGGATGGAGAAAAGGCCAAAGCATTCAAACTGATTTACAGTTTCTGCATTCAATTTAAGAAGCTTACTGTAATGAAATAGACTTTTTATCAGTATAAAAACTTGAAGCAAAATACTGAAAAAGCATAGAAATTGTAATTTATTAAATCTGTATTGTCTATTTAAAACAAGTAAAGTGGTTCAACTGAGTTTTTTCTTGATAAATCAGAATAATACACAAATTGAGATCAAATTCACGTAACTCTGTAAATATAAACTAAAAGTACATAGGATTTCTAAGAAGCTGTAACAGCTGCTTTTTTTTTTTCTTTCTGAAAAAGTGATGCTTGATGAAATTGAACCTAAAAATAATATAAGAAATCTGCTTACTGCTTTCTAAAAATGTTCTTGAAATTATATGCAATAAAAATAAAGATATAAATTGTTTTATCAAAGTATTTGCTTTATCATATCAATGAATTTAATATTTTGCTATGCTGATGTTACATTAAATCTATAATAAGACGTTTAAATAATCACACAATCTCAGTTTGGAAGGAACCTCAAAAGACTGTAAAGTCTGATCCCCCCTGCTTAGGAGAGTGTCCTACAGTAGATCACACAGGTAGGCATCCAGATGGCACTTGAATATCTCCATAGAAGGGAGCTCCACAAACTCTCTGGGCAGTCTTACTACAAAGAAATTCTTCCATGTGGTAGTATGGGATTTCCTTTGTTCAAGTTTTAAGCCATTGTTCCTTGCCCTATCCCTATGCACAAAGTGAAGCTTGGCCTCATCCATTTGCCTCTACCCTCCCTTTAGATATTTATAAACATTAATTAGGTTCCCTCCCAGTTGACTTTTCCAGAGACAAACAAACAGAACAGACCCAGGTTACTCAGTCTTTCCTTATATAAGAAATGTCCAAGGCCTTTTATCAGTTGTGGTCCTCAACTGGACTCCTAGGTGATCCCTGTCTTTTTCAAACTGGGAAACGCAGAACAGGATGCACTATTCTAAATGTGGCCTCGCCAGGGAGAAGTAAAGAGGGAAATATTAAATAATAAAACAATAAATAATGCTTTTAAGTAGTGACTCTTAAGTAGAAGCATCTAACTCTTTATCTTAACCATGGTATTACCACATTGCTCCTAGTCTGAGTGATATATTCAATTGTTTGTGTCAGAGGAATTTTTCTTTGGAGTTGGATTATGGCTACCCTTAAATTTAGGTAATTAGGGCCTCTCGTGCCCTGCAAGTGAGTGTTTAGGATTTTCCGGAGCATAATCAAAGATTTCTTCAGGGTTGAGTGTTATATTTCCAGCAAGAACAGGAAACTCAAAACTTGTTGAATATTCTACAGGAGACATTTTAAAGGCCAGATCAAGTGCACTGGGAAGGTAATAGAAACAATTTATAGTTCCTCACTAGAGTGATGCTCTCATTGCCACTTACATTGTCCTGTGTGATACAAACCTTGATGACAGTGTTAAAATGAAAACTGCTGTTTTTATCAACGTTTGAGACTACAATAAAGGACATATGACATCTTTCTATTTTAGGTACAACAAGACTTCCTAAAATAGCTGTAAGTGATCACTTAGCAGTTCTTTGCCATCGGTACACACTAACTTTACTAACCCGTTGAATTTACTCAAAACACTCGATGTTCATCATTGTGTTTTGAAAGCTGTGTGACCATGTTGGCTCTCATCTCTCTTTAGTATGTTAGAAAATGAAGGTGGAAGAAATGTATGCACCAAAGAGACTGATTTCTTTGGAAAGAGGCATTTTTAAGTTTCAATTTTACAGTGTCTTAGCCATTTTTGTATTAGTATGTCTACCCTCAGAATAGAAAATATTTTCTGATTGTCATTTCTGTAAGCTAGAATCTCTTAGCTGAACAGAATTGCTGAATATTAACATAAAAGAGAACAATCTTTACTGGATGTACAGACTGAAGTAAATTGCTGCTTGTTCTTTAAGCCTCATTGTTTTTGTTACAGAACTATAAGTCAAAATAACAGAACTTTAGTACAGAGGATTCTGGCCAATAAGAAGCTATAATGTCTTTGACCACCTGAACTTGCTCAGTTTTTGAGGGAGAAGTTACATGGAGGCTAAAAGGGTCTGTGCCCATTCCTTTGACCTTATTGCATTTCCCATTTGTCAGCAACATGCTAAGCAGTTAAGGCTCTGCCCTCAGGTCTCCAGCAGCACCCAGCAGCTTTGACTGCTATTAGCTGCAAAATACCAGTTCCTTCTGTGAGGCCTGAGATGCTAATCATGCTTCAAATCTGTGTGTCATCTACTTTACATAATGTATAATTTTTAGGTAATAGCTTGGTTTCTATGTCCAGAGAAATGTGGCTATAACAAAATTTCTGCAGCCACTAAGGCAAGCTCACCTAAAAGCTGCTGAACTTTCTTGAGTGTATTTTGGTAAACTATGATTAATCAGCAGAAGTAATTCCAAGTTCTTTGGGGCACTTAACAGTGGAAAATATCTTATTTTACGCTGAACTGAAATGAGAATCTTATGCAGCCCTCTGAGTAGAATTTTGTTAATGTATACTCGGGTGATATTTAATGTTATAAAAGTGAGATTTTTAGTCCTTTGGGAAGGCTAATTCTTTTTTTCTTTCCTGCAAAAGTAACCCTTAAAGCTGCTGGCATCAAGCCATTTCATGTTGTGATTACAGATCTTTTTCTGTAAGTTCCTGTCAGTAATGTAGGTATCAGATGTTGTCAATATATTCTTCAAAAGAAGCTGTTTTATCTTAAGAAATTGAAGCAGTGAAATAATTTATAATTTAAAATTTATATTTATATATCATTAAAAGCCTATATTCAGTTTTGGAGAATATATTTTTTTATTACAGTTACATATACATTTTTAAATAGCTCTTTCAGTTTAACTTGAGCATGTATTCAATACAGTAATTCATACCAGACAGCTTTGTTCCTCTTTTGAGGAAATGTCAGCTTTTATTGTGAAGAAACAAGCAACTTTTTTTTTTTCAATCAACCACAAAGCAGACTTCTAAAAATTATTTTCTAAGTATTTGTAATGCTTTTGTATTCTTGCTTTTTTCTTACATTGTTTTTTCTTGTGATATTGACCTGATAAATTTTTGTTAGTTTACCGCAAGAGATTATTTTTTCAAATCTTACATGGAAGTTTTGGATATTATTGTTAAGGTAAATACCACAGCATGAATTGCCAAGAAAGGTTTGCACATTCCTTTTTTTTTTTTTTTTTTTTTGTGATTTACTATACATTAATTTTGAATTTATTTACACAAACTATAATTACTAATAAAGCTGTTTGTCACCTTGGGCTGGGAAGAAAAATGTTAGTAGCACTTCTGTACTTGATTCAAGAAGCTGACTTTTCTGCCTTCGATCTGTCTAATTTATAATCTGAGAGGCAGTGTTCATTTTCAATATTTCTCTTTTTTTCCAGGGAATGGAGAAAATAATCCCAGTTTTGTTGCTGAGCTTGACAATCTTGATCCTGCCTAGTGTATGGATTAGCATAAGATGCCAATCCTGATTAGCCCAAAGAACTCTATTTTTCTTCTCATCAGGTGCTGTTTGCCTTTTTATCAAAGTGACTAGAGAATGCTTAACAAATTTCATCACTATCTAGGTAAAAAAAAAAAAAAAAAAGTTTCCATTCTTGTCAGGTTCTGATGGACAGTAAGACCTTTGGGTTTCAGGGTTTCTGAAAGGTTTTGTTTAAAGGTTACCAGAAAATGAGCTTTATGGGTTGAAACTAGCTGAGACTTAGTGAGCAAGATTTTTTTTGTTAAGGAGCTATCTTTTTGGTAGTTAAATCCAGCGCAATTACTTCTGTAACAACTTCAAAAGGGAATGTTTTTCATCCAGATCATACAGGTGTCCTTTAATTTGAACAGAGTTGTCATTTTTTTCCTTTTTTGTTCATTTTGTTAGTTCTCCATGTCATTTCTTACACTCATTTCCTTTTAATTCCTACTTTTTTTTTTTTTAATCTTCAATTGAAGTAATATAGATGCTTTTATACCAGCACTATCATGCTGGCGTGTGTTGGATTTGCACGTCTTGCCCATACTAACAACCTACTGCTCTTCCAGTTTGATCTGAGAACTTTTGGCTGGCTGGATACTCTTGTTCAAAGGGCAGCTTGACCTTCAACAATTCTTCTCCTTAGTTTCTGAGATGTGTCTGTACAGGCCTTGTACATCTGTGGTGAGAAGGCTGACATTACCCAGCCTCTCACACCCCAGTAACTTGCAGTCATTCTACTCTTCCTACACAGAAGGAACTTGAGTTTTTTTCATGTGGGTTATGAGTGATGATAGGCTAAATGGGGAGTTCAGGTTATAAACAAGGACATGACATAGCCTGGACTTGAGGCTTTAATAATATAGATGGTCTATGAGACAGAGATTAAAGGGAGTTCAATTAACTTAGTAAAGTAAGTTGCAGCTCTGTCATCAGAGGGGTGAATTCTCTTATGTCTAATGCTAACTCTCATGAAATTGATGTTAGATGTACAAATTGGGCTGACAGCTGGGTGTTCCAGTAGAACAAATGAGATGTTTCTTGGAATTCAGATCTGTTTTCACTGGACTGCTAAAAACATCTAATGATATTTGAACAGTCATAGCTTTGAATAGTAATGGAAAAATTTTCCTTCTCCTTACTACTCTCCCACAGGCCCTTCATAGCTTCTGCCTTATTCCTATTACTTTTCTCCTTGTTTTGACTTATGTTGTCCTGCCTGTGCCAACCAAATGGAGAAAACTTTTTTCTCTCTTTCTACTGCAAACTAATGGTCACAAATGATTTCTGTTACCTAGTTCAGCATCTACACAACTACCTGTAAGATCATTCTATAAATGGTGGGAAGAAATCCTGAATTCTTGTGACATCCTTGCACCCCAATATCTTTGGAATGGCTGCAAAAGTTTGTGGAATGGATCAGGAACAAATATATGTATGTATATGTATATATACACACATATACATGTGTGTGTGTGCATGTAAATATATATAAATATTATGATATATATATATAATACATACATAATATATTGTATAATGTATAATATATATGCTATATAATATTATATAAATTATAAAGTTATATATAAATGTATATAAAATATATAAATTTTAATACTGTATATTATATATATATAATATACACACACACATTATATGTAAAGTCATTAGGGACCAGTTCTCTAGCACAATTTTAGATGCTTTAGAATATCTAAAGTACAGAGCTGGCAAATCTGATCTGGGGTGACTCACACTTCTATCAACTGAAGTAAATTAATTTAAACATCTAAAATGGTGAAACATACTTTTGTTTAGGCAACTGAATCCCACCAAACTCTGTTGCCAATTATGTGACAGCTTTTTGATATGGAAAGTTAACAGAAAGCTATCAAAATTAGTTATTCCTTCAGGAAAACAAATAGCTTGTTTAGAAATAATCTGAATTTTTTACTAGAATCTTATGTGCTTTTTTTTTTTTTTTTTTTTGAGTCCATTCCAAAAATTGGTCTCTGCTTAATTCTGCATTCTTTGTACTGGAAACTACCTTTGTTTATCCATGTTATATTTCTAGTTAAGTTTCTTACAGTGTCAGCATGTTAAGATATTTTGTCTGACTTTTTAACCAGAAAACAATGGATTATGTTGGGATTTTCTGGAAAATCATCTTGTAGTCCTCAATCCACTGAAATATCTTTTTATCTTTTATCTTATTGTTCTTATCTTTTATCTATTTTATCTTTTTATTTTTTCTTTGTCTTAATAGAAAGTTTGAAGTGAAACTAATTGTAATTATTGATGAAACAAATATAGGGTGTAGGAAGTCAGACTTGAGAGGTTTTTGGCATGTGTACGGAATTTGCATAACAGGTTTGCTGTTACAACAGGGCTATGAGCAACAGAAATAAAAGGATGTTTATGTCTCTTATTTGGTTCCTTTGGCATCTAGAAGTTAAAGATGAAAGAATTTTGAAGTATAAAGTATAGTTGTTATGTGAATCAGAAATATGACCAATAGACATTTTGCTGTCACGCTCTCCAATAGTGTCTCTCTTTAGTATGATCTATATTAGTCACTGGGCCTTAAGTGCCCTGTTCCAGCGCAGTGATGAATGCGTGCTAAACTTAAAGTAAAAAAATTGAGAGCAAGTATATGCTTATGATCAAATAGCAGTTCTTTCCAAAACAAGATTATATGCTAGACAGCAAGCCATTACTAAGTTATAATTTTATTTTTAAAGGAGATGTAGTGCTGGCAGCATTGATGCTGCTGGATCTCAGGGTGGCTTGTATGCATATCTGGCTCATTAGCTAGCTAGCCAAAAATTTTGCTTGACAAAAATCTATTTGTCTGATGAGCCCCCTTTTTAATTAGCCCTTGAATTTTCTAAAGAATATAGCTTAATTTTTTCCTCAGTTATGTAATATAACTACATGGAACAGTTGCAAATCCAAATTGAAGGACAGAAGTATTTTCAAGTGAATTAAGCAGGCTGCTTTTTTCAGAGACATCTTCAGAGACATTTTCTCAGACATCTAAGACTTTTTTTTGTTCTGCTAAATTTGACTGAGGCCAACAGAAAGGGTTAGCTTACAAAAAGAAGTGTGTTTTCTCCTGTTTCATGCTAGAGGCCTTTGGGTTTGAGAAAGACGTAATGAAACTGAGAAATTTGTTCTGGTTCTTATTCTGGTTTATATAGATATTTTGAGATATTGTGTTATAAGTGTTATTGAGAATTGATGTGGAGCATCTTGCAGATGTTACACAATAAGCCAAACACTACCTGAAAAAGTATTACAAACATATGTTTTCTTTGTGTGAATGTAGGTATTTATTGTTTCTTGACATTAAATATTAGCCTTAGAAGTTACTAAGTCTTCAGTTCATCTGAGAAATGAATTTGAGATGTTCATATGCACCGAAATGTTGATGATATTGTGAAAAGAATAATTGTACAGCATCTTGGTGGAATGCAGAATTTTCAGTTGGCAACCATTTTTAACAGCTGAAGAGAAGCCATCCATGAATGCCAGTATACATTAATTTTCACTTCACAGATATGTTGAGTACATTTCACTAGAAGCCTAAAAGGCAAAAAGATGCCAGAAAAAAACATACATGTCAAGAATATTTTTTTAAACCTTGATTTATTTGAAGAAAGCTATAACACCCACATAGTTTAGCAAGGAAAGACATCTAAATAAATGGCATACTTCTTTTTTCAGTACTTCAGTACTGTTCACCTTTAGCTTCTTGTGAAGTCTATGAAAAGAGTAAATATTCATCAGTGAAAACTGACAAAATGCGCAGTGGCTGTAGCTGTACACAGTTAAGACATTTGTACCGAAAAATCTACCACAAATTGTACCAAAAAATCCACCACAATGTCAGTGATACTCTTGGAATTCAGGCAGAAGGTGAATTTATTTTGTTTGCATTGCTTTATTGCCCTATATTTAGCATGCTTAACTGATGATTAGCTGAGGCAAGTAGTGCTTTGGATGAAATAGAAACTTTGATAACAATTAAAAAAAAAAAAAAAAAAAAAAAGAAATACACCAGTGAATGTTACAGTTTAAGTTTAGTGGAAAAAAAAGTGAAAAACTGTGACTGACAGTGGAAGTTCTTATGTAATGCTAATTGGAACTGAGAAAAGCACATCACAACTTCATGAATATGGCTGCACTCCTTTCCTGACAATTTAGGTGATATGAAAACCCCATTTGTAAGGTGCGATGGTCTACATAAATGATTATCCAATCATAATTAACATAGAGTTCACTGTGAGCACATCCAAAAACTGTATCTTGTCCAGAATCTCATCGCAGGTGGTGAGTCTTGAACATATGTGAAAGCTCAGTTCAGAAGTTTTGCAGGATTCGTGACTTCCCTTTTCTTTATCAATTCTTATCCAGTTTTCCTAGGATCTCAAACAAAGCCAGATCTATGCAGATTTTTATTTGATAATGTTTCAGTGATGAATGATAAGATTTAGTCATAAGGGCAGAGCATGGCTTTCCACTTTCCGTGTTTGTGATGCATTAAAAAAAATTCAGTTATATTTGCATTATAAAGAAATCAGATGAATCTTTTCAGAGCTTGCACGATGCTCACCAACTTAGATTCCTCATTCCTCAGTGAGCAGTGACACTGAGTGTACTAATAGACTTAATTGTGTGGACACCAAAGCAATCTCTTTTCTTAGCTACTGCCAGTGTGCTGAGTCTTTGACCATTGTAAAGAGAAGATCAGCACTTACCTTTTCCTCCTGCTTTGGCTAAGCAAAAGAAGCTGGTATCTGTTGTTACAGCATATGTGAAATGGTGTAACTAGATTGTCAAGTAAATTTAAGTGCCACACTGCCTTGTTTGTTTATTTAATAATTGTGTGAGAGTAGTAATGCAGCTGCTTTTGCAGAAAAGGATGAAAATATTCTTGGTTCCATCCACGACAGATTCCTCAGACAGTTGCAGAAAGACATATGTACTAATCCTGAACACTTCTAATTGTTAATTTATTACATTTATACATATACTGAGTGATAAATGACAGGCCACTTTCTGCATGCACACAGTCAGTACTTACCTGGTTGAATGTGTTGACATGCAAATTCTTAGGATTATTTTTATTCCTAAGGAATCTGCTCTCCTAGATAAGTACAGCCGTTTAAGCTTTTTGAATATATACTTTGCCAAGAACATCTTTCTGAGTAGTGCTTGAGCTAGTTAAGAGTATACTGAAATTTTCTTAATTGAAATCCCTTCACAGTCTGTTTCTTCTCCTAATTCTCCATCAGCTTTCTCTCTGTCTTTTGTGTAGTAGGTCTCCCTCTCCCACTTTCTCTCTTCTTAATCCTTGACCCTGGGCAACTTTCTGCCTGTTCCTCCAGTTATTACTTCCTATTCTTTGTCTCCCAGTTGGCATCCTGAGTGCCTCAAACACTCTCAGTGCTTCATTTCTTTCTGCCTTTTGTTCACTCGTCTTTCACTCTCTTTACCACGGATATTTTAACTACAGTTCAGTGTCTGGAAACTTCTGTTTCTGAACAATAACCTGCTTCCCTATTAGAAATAAATTATTCTTCTCTAGGTTTTTTTAGTCAGTAACTGAACCTGACGTCCTCTGAAATATGTTCCCTCTTTCTTTTTTAAAAATGTCAATTCTTACATACTGTTATTTTTCTGTTTTAGAATTAAGCACACAGCTAAATAGAAAATTTTAGTTAATTCTGCAGATTAAATCCTCTTACTTGTCATAGTCTATCACAGCTGTATGTCCTAAACTACAGGATTAGGACATGCAAAGATGATTTAAAATTTTTTTGAAAAATTATAATGTATAAATCCTGAAAAACTTTACTCACCCTTTCTCTCTGACATGGCAGGTGTTATGCCA